TGTGTGTGTGTGTGTGTGTGTGTGTGTGTGTGTGTGTGTGTGTGTGTGTGAGAGAGAGAGAGAGAGAGAGAGAGAGAGAGAGAGAGAGATAGATAGATAGATAATGGAATTTCAAAATATGTATACCACTAAAAAGAGGATCTATGTAAAATTATAAATATGAAAGATGTTTATTGGAATGTAATTATCAATACCAGCAAATATTAAATGAAAGGTGCTCAGATGCTGAAATACAGCGTGTAAATTATTTGGAAAGGAAAGGTAGAGGTAAGGAGAAAGAGAGGAGAAAGGAGAGAAGGCAACAGAAGGGAGAGGAGAAGTAGGAGAGAAAGAAGGAGTGGGAAGAGGAGGGAGGAGAAGGAGAGAGGAAGGGGAAGTAGAGAAGAGAGGGATGGCAGAGGGAAGAAAGTAGGGAGGGAGGAGGAGAGAGGGGGAGGGGATAGGATGGCAGTGAAATAGGGAATAATGGTATACTTGTGGTTATCTGTATAAAATTAAAATAAAAAAACCTTTTTTTAAAAAAAGAAGAAGACTAAACTAATGCAAACAGGTGCAAAAAGCAGCTTTAAAATTGACAACGAAGCCACCAAAGTGCTAGATAGCTTCTACTGTTCAACATCAACCATCCACAGTAAAGGAACAAGCAATCAAGAAATATGCTGTAGATAAGCACTTAGTAGAGCAGCCAGGAAGGCCCTGGAAATGATACTCCAAGGTCATGATGTGTCTATACCTACAAAGATAAACAAACCACGATATTAACAGAATAACACTTGGAAGGGGCCCTGGAGGTCTTTTTAACCCAGGGATGTCAATCTCACCTCGTCATGGAGGCATCACATGACATATCGGGGCTTCCCCCCCCTTTGCTAAACTGGGCGTGGATGTGGCCAGAGTGTTTGACAGCCCTGTTCTAGCCCAACCCCCTTCTCAAGCAGGAAACCCTATACAGTAGAAACTCTGGTCACAACCATAATTCGTTCCACAACTTTGGTCGTAACCCGATTTGGTCGTGGTCAGAAGCGTTCATGACCGGAGCTTTCTACTGTACCCTTTAAGACAAATGGCTGTCCAATCTCTTCTTAAAGTGTTGGAAAATCCAGAACTTCTGGAGCAGAGGTGGGTTTCTGCCAGTTCAGCCCAGATTGGGTGAACCGGTAGTGGCGGCGGCGGGAGGCTCCGCCCACCAGTCCGGACGCTTCTGCGCATGTGCAAGAAGTGTTGCATGTGCATGCACGAGTGAACCGGTAATAAAAAAAAATAGAAACCCACCACTCTTACGGAGGCAAGTAATTCCATTGGTTAATTATTCTAAATTATCAGGAAATTTCTCTTCAGTTCTAGATTGGTTTTCTCCTTCATTATTTGCCATGTATTGCTGCTTCTTCTGCCTTCAGGTGCTTTGGACAATAGGTTGACCCCCTCTTCTCTGTGTTTCTCCCTTGTCCTCCCTTGTGATACTTTGTGGAAATGAAAATTTGATTTTGAAGAAGCAGGATAAGAAGAGCATGGACCCTTCCGAACTTTGGTACTGAACAGTGGTGGGTTTCAAAAATTGTTGGAACCTACTCTGTGGGTGTGGCCTCCTTTGTGGGAATGGCTTGCCACCCATGTGATCGGATGGGAGTGGCTTGCTGCCCATGTGACCGGATGGGAGTGGCTTGCT